GCTGGTCCACACAACCCCGGCTGAGAGCCCCAGACTCAGGGTGGGGGCGTCTCCCCCACAGGACATCTGAGTCTCTGTCTGTGGTGCCGCAGGAATAACCCGAGATTGGAACAGACAGACCCAGGTTTGAGTCTTGGTCACGATTTTGCTTTCACTGGTTTGGCCTCAGCTTCCCCGTCTGTGAAGTGGGGCTGCCTGCTCCCTGGCCCGCTCTTGAGGGTGTCGCAGGGACTCCAGGAGGCAGACAACAGCTCTGTGAGCACTAAAAGTGCTGGACGTGACAGTCATTGTCACGTCATTGTCCAGGTTGGTGGCCTGGGGTTGTCCGGTTTCAACCAGCCAAGTAGACATTGAAGTAGCACCACTCTGTACAGGACACAGGATGACTCGGGGCTCAGGGCCAGCCATCAGTGAGCCAAGAGGCAGGTGAGAGCAGAGAGATGGTGGTGCAGGACTCACGGGCCCTGGCGAGGGTAAGGAGCAGTCAGGGTGCAGAGGGGTTCCCTGAGCTTGGGGTATGGGTGGCAAAGACTTCCCAGATGAGGCATCTGGGCTGGGAGGAGCCCACACGGGAAGCCAGGTGCCAGCCCCGGTCCTTTTCTGAGCTACAAAATTGGGAGCAAACTGCTTCCCTTCTCCCGGCCTCAGTTTCCCCGTGGGTGAGATGAAAGGTAGGGGCAGGTGATGTCTAAAGGGACTTTGGCATTAAGAGGCTGGAAGACAGAATTTGAAGTTAGCCTCCAGGGACAGGCACAGTGTAGGTGGGGGGAGGAAAAGCAAAAAAGTCATTCCTAGCAGGGGAAATGGCTCATGCAAAGGTATGGCACGGGGTCCATGCTGGGGTGTGCCAGGAGCAGGACAGACACCGGGGGGCGGAGGGGGGGCTACCATTGGCTGCTGCTCCTCACATGAGTGGGGAGTGGGGCTGAAGGAATGTGGAGCCAGGTGGGGCCCACAGATAGCAGGGAAAAAATAAAAGAACCATCAGGATAGCATCACTTACCCAGCCCCTACTATGAGTCAGCCATGCGCTAAGCAGTTACCTCGTGTGACCCTCATTTCATGTAGAAATGGGCTCAGAGCATTTCCATGGCTGCTAAGGGCCTCAGTTTCCCTCTCTGTAAAATGGACCAGGCAGGGTCTGGCATACAAAAGTGCTCAATAAATGGAAGCCACTAGAGGTAGCAGCATAGGGGCAGGTGTGTGTGACCGCAGAGCCGAAAGCAGCGGTTCTCAACCTTCCTAATGCCGCGACCCCTTAATACAGTTCCTCATGTTGTGCTGACCCCCAACCATAAAATTATTTTCGTTGCTACTCTATAACTGTAATTTTGCTACTGTTATGA